GCACAGTTGGCATGCAACAGTCCTTCCAATCAGCCCCCTCTTCCATTCTCGAATCACCTGCCACTTCCCACAAAGGGCCTCCTTTGGGCTTCGGAGCACCTGACACCCACACGGAGCGAGCACAGCCTCTGTCCTCTCAGGTTCCATCAGGCTTCCGAAGCTCTTCCTCACCTAAAGCCCACAGGGCACCGCAGCTGCTCCCGCTGGGCCCTGAAGGCCAGGTGCAGGTGGCTTCCAGGGTCTCCGAGCTCTTCTCAGTGGCCCTCCATGCCTTCGTCATCAAAACTCTCCCTTTCCAGGGCTGTCCCTTACCTGTCGCCCTCCAGACTCCAGCAGCAGGCCAGGCCCCCCGGGACCCCTGCCTCCCTGAGCCTCCAGGTCTCATAGAGACGGAGCCAGCCTCGTGACTACTCCTCTTTCACTCTCATGTGCCACAGGGGGTGCACAGGGTGACTCACCAGGGCCACTTCCAGAGCACCAATCAGACCTCTGCAGTCCACCCTGCCCGGCCCTCCTGCGGGCACCAGGGCATCTCACAAAGACCAGCGTGAGTCATAGCGGTTGCTTCTGCACCAGCCCTTGCCAGGGCTCCCTCCATTCTCCACACAGCAGACAGGCTCTCTCAGAGCACAAGCAGACTGCGCACCTCCGTGCTTGGACCTGCTGGTCCATCTCTGCAGCTCTGTGGACTGAGCCCATCTGCCACAGCCCTACCTGCACTCTGACTCTCCTTCCCTCCTGCCCACCAGGCTCCGGCTGTTCTGACCTTCCTCCTCCTCCTCCAGAGGAAGCCACGTGGATGCCAGCTTGCCTGGAATACGTTGTGTGCCTTCCTCTCCCTGACCCTTTAGGTCTCAGCGCGAAGGTCAGCTCCCCAGCGTGGTCTCTTCTGCCCTCTGTGTTAGCGAATTTTCTCCCTGGTGCTGATGATCTGAAAGGGCATTAATTGCTGATTTATGGGTTTGGAGCCCCTGGGGTCCCAGCTACCCCATGGAGTCTTCAGGGGACTCGGAACGTGCTTGTACACACGTGCAGCACTTGGTGTCTGGAAGACATCCCTGTGTGGTGGGGGGTGGTAACTCCATGGTAAACAACAGCCAGACTCACGGCTCTGTCAGATTGCTTTATTTTCTGTGGTTCCTGAGATGCAGACTCTGTGAACTATAGTTTCTGGCCCTCTTAACACTTTCCCCAGGGATCTGTGAATTTTGCTAGTGAGCTCATCTTTGGTGAGAATCTGCTGCGTGAATTCTGGTGTTGACCTTGCAAGGTCCACATCTCGGCCTTAGTGGCAGCTGGAACTTAGAACGCTTCATGCATAACGGAGATGTCAGGGCTCCTGTTTCTTCAGGGTGAATCTTTTTCTGCCTATGGTGCAGGGAGTCAGCCTCCTTTAGGCTGAGTCCTGGTGGTGAGCAGACTTTCTGTCCCTTTGACCCCGAGGGTATGAACCACTGGCTGCATTCAGGGAGCTCAGTTCAAATTGCATAAGAAGCTTGTGTTAGTTCTTTTTCTGTCACTAAAACAAAATGCCCAAGGCTGGGTAATGTTGAAGAAGAGGCTTATTTATTTCACACTTTTGGAGGCTGAAAGTCTAAGATTGGGTGGCCCCATCGATTCGGCTGCTGAGAAGCGTGACAAGGGAGAAGATCCCATGGCACAGTGAGAACCCAGACAGAGTCTGGGGTCAGTCTTGCTCTAACTCTGCGCTTCCTTGGGAACTGGCTCGCTCTGTGACGCAAGCATCAGTCTTTTCCAGGGCACCCCCCAGAGCCCAACCACTCCCCACTAGATCCTGTGTCGCAAAGGTTCTGCCACCTTTCAGCACCACCACCCAGGTACCAAGCTTCTAGCGCATGAGACATCCAAACTGTAGAGGGCCCGAGAGCTCAGTTCCACCCCCAGGAAAGGGTTCAGACCCCCGCTCCTCAGGTTCCCTCTGGTTCAGATACCACGAGCCCCTCCCTGAGCGCTCGGCTGGAATCCTCTCCTTGTTCCAGCCCCTTGGAACTTCTCTTTCTTGCCATGGAGCTCAGTGCTGTATTTTCTAAGTGTTGTATTTTATCTGCTCTGTGTGTGTGTGTGTGTGTGTGTGTGTCTGTGTTTAGAGGGGTCCACGTCTGCTCAGTCCCATCCTGACCATGAGGTCCTGCTGCCAGTCTCCATACCATTGTCTTTACAGCCCCAAACACAACAGCCTGAACCTTGGAGGTCCCCGGCCTGGGCAGCTGCCTTTATGGTTCCTGCTGACACATGTGCTCCATGCCTGCCCTTGAGAACTGCTCCCAGGCCCGGCGTGCCGCTGGGCACCCTGGTGCACGCCATAAATACTTGCTCATTAAAGGAAAGCAAACGGCTTTCAATATTTGGCCACCGGCAGCTGGTCCCTGTCCCCAGGAGTCTCTGCATCCTGTCAAACCGCACAGCAGCAGCTGGGGAGTGCGGTGATTGGGAGATGACGCCCGAGCCCAAGTGCTTGTGGAAGCTTCCCAGCTGGTGGACAAAGGTGGAAGACACCGCCCCACACAGAGCCCTCCTGGTGCTGGGGACTGAAGCCAGCATCAGGCACAGCGGGAGCACTCACTGCAGCTCAACCCAGGCCTCCCTGCCAGTTCTTAGAACTTGCTCCCTGACAGTTCTACATATAAGAAGAGATGATAGAATACTAGCAGTATTTGTTAGTATTTAACTTTAGGAGAACTTATTATACGTCTGACATGTGCTGAGCACCTTAAATAATAACATGCATATACAATATAAAAATTATCTTCATCACCACCACTAACACACAGGCATAAGTGCTTTTCGTATATTAGTTCACTGACTTCTCCTAACCTGACTTTTGGCCACTGTGATTCAGAGCTGCTGAATCTGAGGACCAGAGAGGTTACGGAACTGGCCCAAGGCCACACAGCTATGAAGCGGCCGAGTCGGCCGAGTTCCAGGCTCTGACATCCCAGCCAGCCTGCTCCTTAGTTCAGTCTTCTGGACAACCCGGTACAGTAGAAACTCTTAGGGTCCACTGCTAACGGGGGTGAGAAATGGGGACCTAGGGAGGCATGAGGAGAGTGCCTGAGATGGGCCCACCCCAGACCACCGCACAGCGGGCTGATCTCAGGGTGCAGCGGCCCGGACGCCATCCCCTCAGGCACAGGTGCCCTCTCCAGCAAAGGTCCCCTCCCTGGCTCTTCACAAGTGACCACACTTTAATTTTAAATTTGTGCATTTCAAAGAAAGTTTATGAAGTTGAAATGTGTTTAAATAAATGAACGTCTTGACTTGATGTCATTAAACTTCAATATATTTCTAAAATTTAAATAAGAAATAAAGGTAAACAAAAGCCCCTGCCCCTTCCTGTGTCTGGAGCCCTGTAGACCCGGAGCTGCCCCGGAGGCCCCTTCTCTGCTCCCCACCCGCTCAGGTGTCCTCCTATCTGGGTCAGGGGAGCAGGGCTGGGCAGCTGCGTTCCCATCCCAGCCCTCTGGCTGTAGACAGCACCGGGTGGCTGGGGTAGTGGGCAGGGCAGGGACGAGGGGCAGAAGCACAGAAGGCAGGGATAGCGCCATGTGCAGCCCTGGACTCTGGGTCCAGGCCCTGGCCCGGCCAGCGCCCTCTGCCTGGGCTGATGAGACACGAGGACGGGCCACTTGCTCCCTGCAGCAGGAGCAGAGCTCTGTGAGCACGTGCTCCACACATCAGTGGCCCTGAGTGCCAGCGCCGGCAAGGCTGGTGACAGACACCGTGAGGGAGGGGATAGGATGGGCTTCCTTAGAAGACGAAAGGAAGCGAGCAAGGCCTCCCTCCACCCTGCTCAGGAAACAGCCTCATTCTCCACCTCTTAAGGCCGGCTAGAGGCAGGAGGATGCCCGGCCCCCGCTGGCCCGGCCTAGGCTCAGACCCGGGTTCGAGCAAGGAGGAGCACGGTTTTGGCAGCTGTGGCTGAAAGCTGCGTCCTGGCAGGTGGCCCTTGCGTCCTGGTTACTGCTGGGTCCCTGCTGGCCGGGTGTTCTCACAACGCCCAGCAAGAAGCGCTGCTGAGGAAAAGCAGCACCATGCCCTCGGGCTGCACTGTGAAGGTGGGGCGGGCGCCTTCGCTCCCAGGTACCCTGAAAGGAAGCTGGGTAACAGGATGCTCTGCACAGGTAATACTTACAGCCAGGACACAATGCACTGTGTGTGTCAGATGCTCAGTCTCTGTCAGTGGCTAAGCAACAGCAATACAGTGTGGTGCATACTACCAGCACCACAGTATATATACGGCCCCGTGGAAGGGAGAGGGCATCACCGGGAGGGGGTAGAGGGAAGAAAAGAAAGGAAAACGAGGAAGACACTCCTCCTTCCTCCCAATATCTCTCCACAGAGCAGTGGTTTTCAATCTTGACTGAACAGTAGTCCCCTGGCTGAATTTTAAAGAATCCAGCTATCCAGGTCCCACCTGGACCTGTGTGTTTAGCTGTCCCTGCTCCTCCCAAAGTCAGCAAGTCAAAAGCTTGTGAGGGCTCTGAAAGTCATACTGCTCTCATCTTCAGCAGGAGTGGACAAACCCTTGAGGGTTACACTATGCTGCCTTTCAATAAACCTTTATTAACAAGAAGCGAAGGCAGGTCGGATTGGGTCCATGGGCTGATGTGTGTCTGCTCCTCAGCCAGAGGAGACAGGGTTCTAAATCATATCTTCAACATCTCCACATCCTTCAACATTTCCTAGTCTCCAACCCCCTCTGCCTGACAAACCATTCAAAGATTTCCTGTTAAAATATCCCCTTGGTGTGGGCAGAGCAAGTAGGTGAGAAGCCAGGTGGAACCGGCAGATTACTGCAGCTGGTGAAGGGCACATGGGGCTCCTTCTGCTCTCTGTCTACTTTGGTGTATGTTTCAACAGCACACATGGTTAAAGTTGGGGGGGGGGATAGAGAGAGAGAGATGCTCTCTGGGCAACAACACAATCAAAAGCAAGCGAGGGGACAGCTGGATGACCGGCAGCACGCAGTGGATACTCACGACCAGTAGAGCAGCATGAGGAGGAAGGGGCAGATGATGAGGGCCTGCAGCACCTGCCAGTCCCGGCACAGGGCGGCCAGCCCGGGCATGAGGAACTGGCCCGCCATGGCCACAAAGCTCGCCACCATCGTGATCATGAACCGTTTCCCGGGCGGACACAGCTCTATTCCTGGAAGACAGAAGCATGGGAGACATGAGCGCCCTGCCCGATGGCCCTGTGGTTCCAGTGACGTTTCCACCAGGGAACTGAGGGCCAATGGGGAAGGGAGCAAGATCCTTGGTCAAGGTCACAGAGCAAGCTGGCGGCCAGATCATAGCTCAGAGGTTCTAAGCTTGGAAAGGAGGAGGCACTGAGGCCGGGGGGACAGTCTTTGCAAGGCCACTTCCCCTTCCTCTGCTCTTTGCCACTGGGCTCACTGTCCAGGAGTTCCTGGCATGTTCACGCTGTCCCCACTCCTCCCTGACCAGGATGCAGGACTGGGGACCCTCTTGTCTCTGGATGGGGATCCAGGGCCTCCCGTGGCCTCGGTCCGCACCTGCACTGCCCTTCCTCCTCCTAGGCTTGGCCTCGGGCTCCTTGTGAGTTCCGGGCAGCCTGCTCCACTGGGAGACCAAGTCAGACCCAATGAGCTGAATCCGAGTTATCTACGTAAACATCATTAGAAACAAACAGTAAACAGGCTCAGATCACGCAGCGATGACCTAACTAGGAAGTGTCTTCACCACACCGGAATCTGCTGCCCACTGGCCTGGGCATCCGTCCCAGGCAGGGGCCGTGTCTGAGTCATCTTGGCTGCCCCAAAAGGAAAAACAGGGTCTGTCTTCAGCAAACATCTCCCGAACACAGAGAGGCCTGATTCCTCTTCTGGGCAGGAATCCATTCTCTTAATTTAACCTTGAGTAAAAAGACAGTCCCCACACTGTAATTTGTAGAATCCATTCTCTTAATTTAACCTTGAGTAAAAAGACAGTCCCCACACTGTAATTTGTAGCACCCAAGTGACAACCAACATAGACCTACTGCGCAAATCCCTACAATAATGGTCCTGAATTCTTGAAAAACCAGCTGGGTTTTAGTATTGTTTCCCTATAGAGTATGCAGGTTTATTTGTTATTCTTCTTCTACAATATGCAGCATTCCTGAAAGTTTTCTTTTGTGCTTTGTAAAAAGTGTAGTTAAAAGAACTAAAAAAGAAACAGAAGAAAGCTCCTTAGGCAAAACACTTGTCATGTCTTTGTGTCCAGCGAATGCTTCAAGGGTGGGCTTTGTGGATGGTTACAGTTGCTCATCTGCTAAAGTCCAGAGACTGTGGCAGAGGTAGGAGGGCAAAGGTAACAGGAAGAGGGCAAAGGAGAGGTGGAGCAGATAAATTAGACCTGACTGCAAGGATGTTATCAGTCCTGACCAGGACAGGGCACTGGGGCCACCGATACCTCACCAGCTCATCTTCAGGAAAACATAACGACATCATCAGAACTCTGTTTGGCCATGAACAGTCACCATCATAGCTATTGGTGAGCAGGAGATAAAGCTGGTCTCACTGAATGTAGCTTATAAAGAGCCTTTCTTGCCACATCATCAGGAAAATGGGCTTAAACAGCCCCCTCCCGGCTATTTGCTGGGATGCTGTTCCTTTCAACACCACTGGCCAAGCTCACTTAAGAGATTACCCCCTGGCAGTGCCCAGGCACGGCATTTCTGTCCCCCCAAATAACAAGAAAAAGTCTTTTCAGAAAAGACTAACAGCTGTAGTTCTAGTTTTCATTTGGTAAGCAAAAGCACTAGATCTGCTGCCATGGAAACAAGAAATCTGCATCAGCCACAGTCGATTCAGTGCTTGGAGGCATGGAGCAGACAGGTGTCAGAGGAGAAAATGTAGCACCTATGTCACTTTTAGACGAAGTCAGAGACCTCATGGCAAGAAGCATGGTGGCTTCACGTCACTGAGTTTGCTAGTACGGCAGGTGTCACATGTTACTTGTGGGTTCTTTTCATTACTTCTTCTAATTTAGTGATACAGTATGTAGGAGAGTATTTAAAACTACAGCAGTCCTCCCTTATTTGTGGTTTTGTTTCCCACCATTTCAGTTACCTGCAGTCAGTCATGATATACATAGAGTAAATGAAAAATTCCAGAGTAAACACTCTGTAAGCTTTACACCACGTGGCAGTCAGGCAGTGTGATGAAACCTCATGTCCTCCTCCTCACCGAGGAGTGAATTTGTCCAGTGTATCCATGCTGTATATGCTACCCACTCGTTAGTCACTTAGTAGCCATCTTGGTTAATCAGGGTGACTTCTGTGGTGCCCCAGCACTTGTGTTCAAGTAACCATTGTTTTACTTCATGATGTCACAACTCAAGAGTAGTGATGCTGGTGATTCAGGAAGGTGATTCAGGAAGGTGATTAAAGGAAGTGGTAAAGTACCTCCTTTAAGTGAAAGGGGAAAATTCTCAATAATGAAAGAAAAAAACCTAGATGCTGAGGTTACTAAGATCAATGGGAAGAATAAAACACACGTGAGGCTTCAGGCATCCTCTGGGGATCCTGGAATGTATCATCCATGGATAAAGGAGGGCTAGTATACAGTTCTTTTTTTTTTTTTTGGTACCAGGGATCAAACTCGGGTCCTTGCGCTTGTGCAGCAGGCGGTGAAACCGCTGAGCTAAATTCCCGGCCCCCTAGTATACAGTTCTTTTATCACAGGCCCACCTTGGGATGCTCAGCCCCACAAACTAATCTACACCTGTGTAATATCATGCAAAGAATCAGAAAGCAAAGCTCGAGGTTGGCAGATGATCAGGAAAAACGGCCCCTTGATGGGCTGGCGAGTGATAGTACAGTCTGACTTCGGGCTCTCCTGACTGCAGACGAGTTCGTGGGGCTGCTGCTATGGTTTTGACATGCCGTGCACCCCAAGCCTCATGTGTTGGGAGTAGGTTCTCAGTGCAGCAGTGTTCAGAGCTGATGCTCTTTGGAAAGGTGAGTGGGTCATGAGGGCTCTAACTCCATCAGCAGGTTAAACCTTGGTGAGATCTCGACTGGGGAACAACAGAAACTTAGGAGCTGGGTCCTAGTGAAGGGGTGGGCCGTGAGGGGTGTCCTTGTGGACAATATCTTGTCCCCAGCCCTTCCTCTCCAGCGCTTTCCCTTCCTGGCAACTGTGAAGTGAGCAGTTCCATTACATTCTGGCACAATGTTCTGCCACATCTCAGGCCCACAGCCATGGAACCAGCGACCATGGACTGAAATCTCTGAAACCGAGAGTCAAAATAAATCTTTTCCTCCTTTCAGTTGATTTTCTCAGGTATGTTATCACAGTGGCAGAAAGTGGGCTAGCATGACTGTCAGCAATGACAATTACTAAGTTGTTCAAGGGTTTCCCTCCTCCAGGACCTCTCCACCTCTCCACAAGTGGTCCGAGCGGCCCCCTAACTTCTTGCCACCTGAAGTGGGGTCCACAGCCTGTACTGTCAGCATCACACGGGTGCTTGTTGGGAAGGCAGAGGCCCAGGGCCCGCTCAGCCCTGCAGAACCAGCACTTGCAGGGGAAGCCACTCCCTGGGCTCTGGGACAAGGAAAAATGCAGTAATTTAAGAAGCGACACAGGTGTGACCATTTTCAGATAACTTGCCTCTTTTTTTTTTTTGGCCTTGAGTCACCAGAAATTCTTTCCACATTGACTGAAATCAACTATGTTCTGCAGGTGGCTATAAATTTTTTTTTTTTTTAAAGAAAGCAATTATCATGGAGCTGTGGGGATGTTAGACTTGCCATTAATGACACCTTCCCGTTGGAAGGTGAGAAGCCAGACTTTCTGAAGTGGGAGAGAAAGCACCCACCAGCATGTGAAAGCCTTCAGGCCTGGTGTCCCTCAGGAGGGGAGAGCCCGGCAGGGAGAGGTCCGTGCCACCCCCAGCCCCATGCCCCACGCCTGCTCCCAGCGCGGCATGAAGGAGCCTTGTCCCAGTGGCTCACCCACCCTAGAGGTGGTTCTAGTGGCCTGGTGGGTGCCGTGGGCCTTGGTCTTGAAAGACGGGGATGGTGTCCCCAGTCCCCATGCCCTCTGGGGTGCAGTTATTTCACAGAGTCGGCTGCCACGGGTGGGCATCCACAGTGCCGCGGAGGACCTGGCTCTGCCCTGTGCCCTGGTATTTCTTAGTCAACTTCTCTGTCAACGAACCAACCCAAGTTGTCTTAGTGGATTTTCACTGATGCTCAGCAAGACTCCTCCCCTATTGATTATGTGAAACGATAAACTGTCATGATAAACTCATCTATGATGCATGAAAGTCAAATTCAGGTGTCTAGCATGCAGTGTTGGAACTGGATTCTGGAGCCAGAGGTCTGGGGTTCAAATCCTGTCCCTGGTACTTGGGACCTTGGTTCTATCACCTCGGAGCTCTGTGCTTCAGTTTTCTTAACTGCAAAAGGGTGTGTGAGCACTAAATAGCACCGAGCTGGGCACAGGAAGTCTATGTGACAGCAGTGGAAAGACCTCATAAGCGTAGCGGGCTTCCTTGAGGACGAGGTCTAAGGTTTGTTATAAAGGAGAAGAAAAATAATCTACAAGGACAGTCCACATGCTTTCTTCTGCATGTATCTTATTTCGTGGTGATTCTCTTACATCTAGAAGCAATCCACTACTGAAAAACAGTCCAGGGGTGGGGGTACGGCTCAGTGCAGCAGCTCTGCCTAGCATGTGTGAGGCCCCAGGTTTGAGTCCCAGCACCACAAAAAACCGAACCAAGAAATCAGAACTGAGTGAATCCAAGAAGACCACATGGAGAATCCCCACTGTAAACCAACTTTCCCCCGACACCTTGATGGAGAAGCCTGACCTGCGGTGCTTAGATGCCAGACAGGCTTTGGTGACAAGCAGAGAAATTGCTGAAGGTTCGGAGAACGACGTGGCGACTGAGACAGAGCTGTGGCATTTGGTCAGTAAATCCTGAGGGCTGCGACCATGACAGTCTGAGCATGGGGGCGGGGGGGCGCCGGAGTAAATGTGGGACATGTGGCCGCGTCAGGAAGCTGCCACTCTCGGAAGATCTGTTTTTTGGAAATTTTCAGATTCCTGCAAATTTCCCGGGGAAAAGAAAGCTGTACTGCTCAGTGCATCCCTTGGGGTGACAGAGGAGGAGGTCAGAGGGAGGGGCATCCAGGAC